GGGGGGGGAGGGGGGGAGGGGGGAATTTTACGTGGTTTCAGTAGTAGGCTTGTTGCCGCACGTCGAGGGTATCTCGTAAGGAGACTAAAGCCTTGCTAGATGTGTCTGCCTAGCTGGTAATCCATTCAGGAGATGTTATGATGGATGTTAGGATTGCCATTAGATGGGCCACTAGTTAGTGGCAGCACTGCTCAAAGGAACTGGAAAACCTGTTAATTAAATAACATGGGGGTCACACCAAGATTTACATGCTGTGCTATTTAAGGCATGCTATTGCCCCTTGAAAATAGTAGGATAAAGGGATTGGACTAAGTGTCATGTGTAAGAAGACATTTTACGATGCAGCCTATCTGTGTTTCATCCCTTAGCTGTAAACACAGACCGAACTTTGCATGCGGTTAGGAGCGGGAATCATTAGTACAGCCTTCTGTCCGCCATGTACTGAACAGTCATGTGACTAATTTGCAAGACGAATATGCGAAAGAACAGAGAAAACAGAGAGGGTGAGGGAGAAGAGAAAGAAGAGGAAATTAACCCGTGATACGGACAATCATTATCTGTCAATTATGAGGGGACTTTTTTTTATGAGAGTAGTTTGCTGACTGGGCGTTTAATTCCTGAATCATCAGAAATGATGAATTTGCTGAGTATAGATCGGTTCCTGAAGCAAAATCTAGGAACGGAGAGTTCTATTTTGGCAGTATCAAACTTTTTATATCTATAGATGCCTTTAAAAGCCGTCTAGCCCAGTCATGGGATCCGTCTGGAAGAGTGCATATACGTGCATAATGCGGTATAATAACACCTCCTTGCACCGTCTGGTTCATATCATTGTCTGGATACCCTCAGTGATTTACTGCGAATGTGAGCTGCATTTTGTCGCATTTCGATTCTCTTTATCGTGGAAACCTTCTGGAAGAGTGCATATAGTATGCATTAATGAAGCAACTGTGATATAATAACACCTTCTTGCACCGTTTGATCCATGTCACTGTCTGGATACGCTCCGTGATTTACTGTAAATGTGAGCTGCATTTTCGCATTTCGACATTATAATATTAAATCTTAGATCGTATGTGTTTATGTAAGAAGTAAGGGAATGAAAGGGGAATGTGATTAAGTTAAAATTTGAATAGAAATGTTTCGATCCATCAAGTCGCATACATCCTCGTCAGTGTGACGGTTGCAGCAAAAATAACATGCAATGTACATGCTTTATCATTTTGGTGTGTATTTTTTTAGGTTTGTATCAATGCCAAAATATGTGGAGCATTATGGTGCCGAATGTATGGACATATTTTCAACGGATGCCGATGGTGGCGTTTCTTCTGTGGATGTAGTTAAAAAGCGTACGGTTCGGGGACCACTTTGCTTGGCCTATTGGAAACTGTTGTTCCTGGATATGTTCATGCCACGAGGATATCCACAGAGTGTTTCACCGGATTATTTGCAATATCAGATCTGGGATACGGTACAGGCTTTTGCAAGTTCAATGAGCTGGGCTCTGGCCACCGAAGCTGTTTTACGTGGCGCCGGTGTAGGAAATGAGGTCATTTTAAGGTTATTGTTTCTTTTTTTGCTGTGTGTTTTTGCGAAAACTTTTCAGAATTTATGTGCTCCGTTACGCGTTGCTTGGACGATGAATCCATCTGCTCTGATTGCAGAGTTACGTCAAATTTCACGTGTTCATGTGTGAAGAGAAAGGAGAGCTTTTTTTTGCGTGCGCCTTCCAAACATGCACCTTCCGAGGATCATTTTTTAAAAATTTTAGTAGCGTAGCTGCTCTGGTTTTAGAGTTACGTCAAATTTCACGTGTTCGTGCGTGAAGAAAAAAGGGAGCTTTTTTTGGCGTGCATCTGCACAGTTACACTTCCGACGACTAATTTTTGAAAATTTTGGTAGGAGCTGCTCTGGTTGCACAGTTACGTCAAATTTCACGCGTTCGTACATAAGAAGAAAAGCGAGCTTTTTTGCGTGCACGTTCCCAAACATGCATTTTTCGAGGAT